TCTTTCCCTAGACACTATTTAGGGAAAGTATTTTATCTGGATAAATAACCACTGTTTTCCCCAAATACCTCTTTTAGTGAAGAATTGCACTTTCCAATGAAAGTGTTTTCAAATGTTAATTTTGTAGATAGCAGTACCAAAAACTCAATATAAACATCGCAATAAAAGGCCCACGAATAAAATTGTCCTAAGGATTATACATGACCTAGAATTTGAAAAATCACTGAATGGTTGTCTTTTCCAAAGTAGTGAAAAATGCCACAACATTAAAAAACACATTTAAATGGATACAAGGTAAAAGATAGTGACTTCAAATGTACAGGCATAGCCAAACATTCCTAGAAATTTTCCCCCTTTGGGGTTATTTTTGAGAAGCCCCTAGTTATGAGCTAATTCGGATATTAATGTAAGTTCTCATGCAGAAATGAAGGCACCAGTGCATTTCAAATAGTCTGAAAAACAAAACAAGGCTTTCCTAAAAATGACATCTCAAAACACTAAGTGAATTATTTTTCCATAACAAGCTAGGAGGAAATCCCAAGTGTTAACAGATGACAAGAGTGTTAATGCCATTAACATTCTTTCAGCATTCCATGTCAGTGTGTAAATGATGTCCTGCTGCTCAGTCATTCTGAGAAGAAACAAGTTTCACAACCATTTCCAGATGCTGAGACTCTGATTCAGAGTATTTTTGTTTCTTCCCTACTGGCCTGCTCTAGGAGATTCTGCAGTACGGTGGTTTGTACAGGACAACTACCAGCTGATGTTTAGTGCACATTAACTATCTCACATTCTCAGTGCATAAAGGTCCCCCACACACTTAAAGCAGACTTCTCCCCAGATGGTTTCATTACAGCTTAAGTACATCAAGTAAAGAACTAATAAAACTCATATTTAGTTGTGAAGCAATAGTCATTATTAGAACTATGAACATAAATACATATCAAGTGAGAATATATGCCTTGCAGGAAGGCAGCTTTTTTATTTCATAAAAAGGATTCTGTTAATGAATGGCATTCCTTTCTGAAAATTAAAATTAGTTCACAAATCACCACTGTTCTATTTAATGATAAAATGAATGCACACTGCTTTGAAAATTTTTTATCCGCAGTAATTTTTGTTCTTTTATTCATAGTTCCCTTAATTTCACAATTCTTTAAAAATAAGCTTTTAATTCTTCACATGCATGCAATCTGAAAAACCATGTGGCACCATTTACTGCTCTGGTAGGCAAAAGATTCTAACAAGGCATGTTAATATCTCTTACTAGGGTAGATGATACAGCTGAAAAGAAAAGCTACACAAATTCTTCATTTAAGGACATACTAGTACATCTAGGATACATTGTAGAACTAAATTAATGTGAGATAGTTTACAAACTATGTAACTGTCCAAAGGCAAGACAGCACAAAGTCAGTGTCTCTAACTAGCAGGGTAACAAAAAGCTCAAACAGCATGGCCTCCTGCCACCCTGGCTCAGCCACTACTCCCTTCTCCTCACAACAAAGCTCAAAGCCTCTATTTTCTAGAGGAATAAACCTTTGTCATTCAGGGGGTGTGCGCATGTTGGGAGTGGGGGAGGAGGTGGTATTTATTATTCATGTATCTGTAATTCTAAGTCAAGATTAATTTCTAAGTTAACTCCATACAACTTTCTATTACACCCTCTGAAATAGCTTTTCATTCTGTTGACTTTAATCTTTCTTAACAACAAATAAAGTTAAACCTCATTAATCTGAATATCTTCCTCAATCCCCAATGAGACATCACTAAAAGGGAAACAACATATACAGCTATAGCAAGTAAGCATAAAAATCAGTTTTCCATTTAAAAAAAAAATCTTCAATTAGATGCATAAACACTGAAATAAAACAAGGAGTGAAAGCCAGATTTGTCATAGTCATAATTACTTTTCTAAACTGTTGAATCATACTCCCCAGTGCTACATGAAGTTGGGCTAATTATAAAAGAAACCTCTCACAGAGTGAAATTATTTCCAATTTGCTCAGATCATGAAAAAGTTGTCACAAAAATCACACTTATTTTATATAGCATGAAATCCACAGAAATATTTTAATCTCTCTTGGTGGTTTGTTTTGTTGGTTTTTGTTTGTTGGTTTTTTTTTAACCATACTATATTCTGCTTTCAATTACAGCATAGCTGCAATCCTTAGTTTGAAATCAACTATTTCTGGTGGTCAACCATACAGACCAGCTTCATAATCCCACCGACTTCAGAGTGTGGTGTGAGCATTCCTTAAAATTTAGGCAATTAAATATTTAAAAAAAAAACCCAAACAATCTAAGGCAAACAAACTAAAATCCTAGCGTGGCAGCAAGACAGCAACTACAAAAATCACTTCAGAATCTCACAGAAGTATTTCCATCTCCGAGTCCACAGTGTTTAGTACAAACAACACAGACACACACCTACCAGATGCAGAACTGTGTCCCACCAAGTACTGATCATGGAAGTATTTTTGAACTGTGTTTACTAATTGAACACAAAGTTCAACTACAGTGATGGCAGTAACAGAGCCTGTTTTTTGATGTAGAAAAAGAGAGAAATACTATTACCATTTTTACTTTTCACACCAATCAAGGTACAAAATGATTGAAATACTTCATTTAGTTGAAATGGGTATTTCAAGTGCATATTAAGAAAATACAGACTGGGATAAACTGTCCTAAATTAAAGAAGTGAACCTACTTTGTTATTGTAGATAACGTAAGATGATCACAATATAAAAATTCTCACATGGAGGTAAAGATATTATTATGAATTATGATCATGAATGGTATTTTTATTGAAATTGATCTCCTACCTTATTATGCTACCAAGCAATGTTACTTTCATATTCTCTGAAGAAAGTCTCATCCACAGTTACTTGTAGACAGCTTTGTTTATTAGTAGAAGCATGAAAGAGAAATTATGCCTTTAATTATGGTATAATTCCAAAACTCTAAGAGATGATTTATGTTCAGACACATCTCAAATTTTCTGAAACGCTCCTGCACTTAGAGAGATGTTGAACCTGAAATTCTTTACCTTTCTAGTCTCAGTATGTGCTATCAACAACAATTCTTCAACAAGCTGACAGAAATAAAAGAAATACATGCTGAAGACTAAGATGTCATTTCTCCCCCTTAACATTTATTCTTCAATCTATAAAACAATAAAATACAGGAGTGTAGAAGACTGAAGAATATTCGGTGATAAGCAGAAACAAATTTGATCACTTCATATAACTGGAGGTGACTTTCTAAAAAAGAAAAACACCATTTATCAGGTCATCTATTAATTATGAAAACATAAATCCTAAGACAGAATCAGTTCATTTCTTACAGTCTTATCTATCTTGTCAAGTCACCGAATTCACTATGTGATAAAAGCTGTCAGACATCTACAGTTCAGGGTGCCTATTTTAATTACCAGGAATTGGTAATCTAGCTGCAACATCGATGTATGTGCACTGAAGCAAGGCTGCCCAGGAGACTTTCAACAACTAATTTTCAAAAATTTCACACGATCTTCATGGTTTTGCCAATAAAAACAAACAAACAAACAAATAAATAAATTCGATTTTTTTTTTAAGCTCTCCTGCATTGTCAGACCACCATCCCCCTTCTTTAATAAAAAAAAAGGTGATAAACTGCAGAGCAGAAAAAGGTAAACATTACCTACTTGGATTTTTTCCTCACCAAATCACTTGAGTGATGCCAGTCTTTTTTGTAAGTACAGTAAATGCATAGCTAGAAAAGCAATAAATGGCAAAGCATTTACTCAACACAACTGAAAAATAATGTATATAACCCGTAAAAAAGAGCTGTCAAGTTTAACAAGAAAACACCGTTATGAAAAGTGCATTTCAATATGTTGGTTTCCTTTATGAACAAAAGTGGGGCTTATTTGACAGCATTCAGCCTACGCACATGATGACAAAGCAAAGGACAATTACAAGGCAATATTATAAGATTTTCTGATGAGAATGTATCACAGGGAAATAATAAGTTGTTTTTTTTAATACCAGAACTGGTAAGTGTGATTACTATCAAGTCTCTTAAGACAAGGTGGAAGAGAACATTTAAGTAACAAGAAACAATTTTCCACTTAGTCATGACTTGTCTCCCTTAATCTAATTTTCTGAAGTCCATATAGAGAAGATCTGAAATATCTTCTTGTGAACTTCTGTCACTGAATCCATTTAAATAATTAATCCTACTACAACTTACTTTTCAAATACTCAGTACTTAGGAGAACCTCTTCATTATATCCACCTATTAAATGTGATGAGCAGCTACGAATGGCTCTAGACATCTATCCCCTCTTTCCCTGTAAAACCCACAGAACCATGACTTCTGCCCAGTTGCAGTAAGAACGAATAGACATCATCTGAACTATCTGAACACAAGATGGGTATACGAAAATTTTGGAGGGAAAAGAAAAATTTGTATTCTACAATGCATTTAACACACTGGTGCTTAAAGAATCTACAGTCTCTATTGCTACAGAAATAAAAGTACAAATTACTCAAGTATCAAAAATGTAAATATTTTTTATCTACAATGATCTGTTAAAAAATTTTAAAATATTCACAAAATTAATACTCTCTCTTTCAGAAAACAACACATCTAAAGCTAAAATAATAAATACTCTCATCTCCACTGCTAATAGTTTTCTAGATTGAAATGATTCAACAATTGTCAGTAAATACCATTTTTTAGGACAAAAACCCCCATACTACCATCTTTATGACCAGTCCCTATAACTTATTCCTTCAAGAAAACTATCTGGTTCCCCCTTGGAAGTTTGACTATAGATGCTTTAAGTTATACTCAGTTATATGTTTTCTTACATTTAACGTGTTCTGTTATGCTTTTCTTTGTGACAGAATAAAAGCACAGAAGAGGAGACTTAAAACTTATTTTCAAGTGTTGCAAATACTTAACCAGACGATCAGAATATTCAGATAACCAGTAAAGACATGAAAAAAGGATATGCTCATCTTCTCTACAAACTTATCATGTTCATCTTGTATTTTTCGGAAATTCTCAATGTCTTTTTCTAGGCACTGGATCTGACGGTTCATTGACTCAAGGTTGCTCTTCAGAGTCTGGGCTGAAACTAAGAAAAAAATGACAATGAGTAAAGAGTTTCTATATTCCAGAAGGGGAAAAAACAATGTCAGAGTAGTCTTAAGGAGAATGATTCCATTAAGTAGACTCACATTTTTCTGAATTACTGCTCATAAAAATCCTACTCTTCATAAAAATTAAGTAAAAATACCTTAACGTAATAAACCAAATCATCATATTTCATGTTGAAACGTCACCACTTAATTCTACCATTAGCTCAAATTATTCAATTTCTATTTAAATATATCGGTAAAAATTCTAATATCTCATTCTTTTAAATCTAATTCAAAGATTAAAAAGTAACCAAGGTTCAAAGCGATTTTACCTTATTAATGCATGTACTTGGTTAAATGAATGATCTTATTAATGCATGTACTCTGTTACAGAAATGATTCAAGCAATAGACATGGAGAAAAGATCAAATATTTTTCTTTTATTGAAATTAAACTGATTTCTAGAAACCAACATCAGTGAAACCCTCTGTTAACATCAAAGGTAGATCTGAATAATAAAAGCTACTGACAATTAAAAGAAGGAAAGGACTCACAGTACAGCACACACACAAAAAAAAAAAAAAAAAAAAAAAAAAAGAAAGGCTACTCTAAAGAGACACTTTTTACTGTGTCCTATGCTATTCTAATGTAAGCCACTATTTCTGCAATTTCTACTAAACAACTACTAATTGATACCTCATGAGAGATATCTCCACTGGAAATCATGACACCACAACTTCGAAGGTGAAGCAATACCATACCACAGAAATTCCAGAACTAGATGAAGAGTGACAGAGTCTCTGAAGAGAAGCCTCTGGTCAAATTGTAATATTAAAACAAACTGAACCCATAATATTGAGTTTTATGACATAATCCATAAAGTCCACTTATACTCAATTTCATTATAAAGAGCAGTTTGTCAAGCACTCCCTCTCAATTTACAGATGCATTTCAGAACCTCATTCTATCTTCCATTCTTTGTCACCTCTTGGATGGTTTACAAATCTGTGGTTGCAAGAAGATCCAGACAATCTCAACACCAATGTTCCCGAAAGAGCACTGTAACATTTGCAACAGCTGACATCCTTACTCTAAATTGCGTACACAGCATACTTTGTTTCAGAGTCAACTTATACACTAGTTATACTCTTCAAGGAGTTTCCACTTTTTATTATTTTTTTGATGGCAAGCCATTTGTCCAAAAGTTGCTTAGAGTATTTTGCAAAGAATGGTTTATTCTCCTATTTCATTGTAATTTTAAAAATTGTGCTTTGACTATGTGAGAACAAGCAGTAGCAGGAATGTGATTCAAGATGGCTTTGAAAAACACTATGTAGGAAATATAAATCCTTAAATAAGTAACTTCTTGCCAGAACAAAATCAATTCTATAATCACTGTAAGTAACTATTCGTATCAGCTGTAACACCAATTTAACTTTTCACAAGCACGTTCAAAAACATAATGCAACGATACACCTGTCTTTATGAGACACATAACCTTGATTTTATTTTCAATTATGTCTATTTTGTAATGGGTACCAAAGCAACTACTAATCATGTCAGGTTAAAATTACATTGAAACAACTTTTTAAGCTTAACTCAACTGGCGAAAAAAAAAAAAAATCAATCTACACTGACCACAGCATCCTTATCGCTATTAACATTCAAGAGTTAACCTTGAAATCAATCACTAAAGCAGTTTGAATAATAAACATTATGGAAGCTTTTACATTATGGCTGCCTTAATTTAATCATTTTATATTGTCAGAAAAGGAGCACACATTTTTGCTTGAACCACTATAATATTTTTATAGGCTGTTGTGTAATTGGAGAGGGAAACTGAAGTAAAATGCTAGAACTCAAAAATAAATTAGTACCATGCAAAGGGTAATTTTGTTGGTAAAAAAAATAACAGCAGCTGGTAAGTAAATAGGCAACATAACAGATAAAGTTTAACTGTTTTCAGCAATTTGAAAATATTTAAATGCATGACCGCTTAGCAAGAATACTAGTTTATTTTCGTCTGAAATGTGAAAGTGCAAAGAAATTCAGCAAGCAATGACATATGTCTTAGCCTCTGTGACGAAAATGGAAGATAAACTTTTTCAGTAACTGCTTTATAAGACTAAGTTCAAAAATCAGTTTAGATTAGGCACGTATTGACCCTGAAAGTAGACATGAACTCCATCCAAGCAAGAAGGCTGCATTCAAAAGCTGTGCTTCCCATAACTAACTTCTATATTCACACTGAATTATGAAAATACATGGCAGAATATGCATTTTTGTTCACTCTTTCTTCTTCCTAGCCCAGGCAAATGTACAATTTTCTGTTCAAACAATTTATGAAGTTGTTGTTCTGCAAGACAAGCTTAAAAAGACTACGTAACAGGAAACATATATACAGAGAGACGATAATAAAATATCTGCATTTCCTCTCATAAACAGTTTTATTAGAGATTTACTGCTTCAGTAACGTGAAGAGGAGGCAACACGAATACATTTTACTCTTTCAGGGAAAATCATGTGAATTTCTTAAAAGTCTTGCAAAGTTTAAATTTATGAAAGGATAAACTATACTTGCAGCAAAATGCCATTTCTTTGAAACCATTCCATAAACACACATAGTAAACAGACTGCTATCACTATACTCAAAGTTCGCGACTACAAGACAAAGGCTTGTTCACCTTCTATTTGCCCATCACTCCACATGAAAATTAGGCATTCTAGTAGAACTAGTCTAAAAATCGAGATTAAAGGTAGCATTTGGATTTCAGTGGCACGCAAGCAGCGTTCAAGAACTATTAGTGGGAAAGCCTCTCTGTAGCAGCAATTAAAATACTATGCCATTAAATGTTGCAGCAGGAGAGAGCAACCAACTAAATACAGTACACAAATACCTTATTTCAAGATTGGAACAATAAAGCAAATACTAAAAGACAGAAGAAAAGAAGAAAAACCCACAAGCAGTAACAATCAGAAAAAACCCTCCATAACCTCCGCACACTCTAGAATAAGCACTCCCAAGAAAATGAAGCAGCCCAAAAGAAGCTTGGACATTGCCCTTTACTAGCAGCAAAGATAAAATATTTGACATGTTTCAGAACTAATCAACAGCAATAAAAAAACTACCTCACTGTCTCCACAGCTTTACAGGAGAATTAAGACCCCTATCCATAGTGGAAAAGTCAGCATTTAAGAAATGGGAAAGTTTATGAAGTCAGAAAAAATTAAAATTTGCTGACACAGTGGAGGCAGATGGCATAAACAAGTTTAGGAAAGGATTATTTATATTCACATACAACAGGGCCATAAACAGATATCGAAAGCAACAGGCAGGGATAAAAGGATTAATATGCTTCTGAGAAAGATTGGAGGAAGTGCCATGTTCTCCCTCAAAAGCTTAACTTACTGCTAGCACTGGACACAGCATCAGGTTGTGTGGACCACTTGTGACATCCTTATGCCTTAAGTCAAAAACCACAGAAACCCCCAAAACTATCTACAGACCCATCTTAAAGGCCAGAGAGGAAAAAAGGCTGCAAGATTTCTCAACCTGTACCAAACTGTATCAGACTGGGCCCTTATTTAGGACTAAGAAAAGGCTGGCTTGTGGAGAGCTGCTACAACTCTTAAATTGGAAAGAAATACAGCATCTCTAACGTGTACCTCAAAGCACTGTAACAAAAGGATTAATGAGACAGATGAAAAATCCAATGCCAGAAATTTAACATGTATGTCTCAAGTACCTAATGCATTATCACACACAGAATTACTATTAACATATAGGACTAATATAAACAAGGTGAAGTTATGCGTATTAACATATTGTCCAATTATTTTTCATGCCAGCAGAAGACTAATATAAGCATCTAGATTTATCAATATTCTCTCTGCATAAATACTGAATGCAGCTCACTATATCATGCATCAATAAATCTACCACTGATTAAAATATTATTTTCTATATTACTATTTATAATAGAAATTCAGTCACTGGAGAGAAGGCACAGTGTCATTTTGCCATGAAAGGTGATATTTTTTTTTTTCTTCGCTTTACTATTTTCCCCTATATTAATTCCTCCTCTGTAAAAAAAAAAAAAAAAAAAAAAAAATCAAATCAAATCCTTTCCACTTATTTTGGAGAAAGCAGTTGCACAGACTGCACGCTAAGGAAGGCTTAGTGAATGTCTGGTAGACCACTTTAGTCCTAGAAAAATGCTACAAGCAGTTAATCTCATGTTAATGTCAAACGCTAGCTAGTCCTCACAGTCAAGCTAAGCATTTTATATTTACAGTAATACAGTAATAGTACCAAAGGACAGACTAATCCTTTCTAAAGTAAGATTGCACCAGACTAAGAGTCCTCCCCTATAACAAGAAGTGAAATGATACAATTTGATTAGGTGCAGTGTCTCTTACATAATAAATTCAAAGGGTCTCTGATCACAATGCAAAACAGGCACGTCCATCTTTAGTTAAAACTCAAGTGAGAGCCAATGATATAAATTACTTCAGTAAGCAAAAACAAGTCTATACAAAGCAAATGAACTAGTAGATTTGTAAGTCTAGACAGTATTCATACCATAACTACATTCTGAGCATGCTAATGATTATTTATTTCTTATTGCCTGAGGGCAGATGGAAGCAGTCTTTCACAAAAGTCTGAAAAACACTTTGAGGGGAAATGGGTGAGCAAGTTTGTAATCTGCAGGAATTACAATCATTGATTACTCAATTCATACCACTAAGTTTAGATTTATTAAGGGAATAAACGTTCTGTTGGTTAGGCGAACAGTGCTGCCGCAGCCTAGCTGAGCATTCTGAGTAGCCCAGCATCCACATGTGTGTATCTCCAAGGATGTCTTGTATATCTGTTTCACAACTATACAGACATATGAATACATTTATATAGCTATTTTTTGTGTGATACAGGTGTACCATCATATGTATATAACTCAGAAGCATATATATGTACATATATGTGTGTATACAAACACACACACACACACATTTGTATGGGGGATATATACCACAGTATGCCAGTATCACACAAAACAACCCCTACAGCTTCCTTAACAATACAACTCCTGTAACATGTTATTTCTCAAGTAATTAACATGTCACTATTCATACTAGAAATCTCTCCTAACACAGCTATACTGTCTGCAAGACACAAGCCATGATCAAACATGTTGTGACACTTTGATATACAGATAAACCACTGTGCTAAAAAGGTAAATCCAGCATTAGAAGAATGATACTGAAGAGGATAGTACATGGCTTCAGGCATGATTCCTCCTGAACACCAGAAGAAAAAAAATGGAGATACCACATGCATTATTTTCCTTTATCAGAAACTAGGTCTTTGCCACACACTAGTGTAACAGACCTAGAACAACTTCAATTTAAAAAACGACTCTGTATTGAAGTACTTTTGCCAGGAAGGACAATGAACTTAATCATTAGAAGTGTTGAGGAAGAAACTAGATGAAGAGTCAAGACAGGTGGAATCAAACTCGTAACAAGCAAATACTCCTCCTTCCAGATAAACACTGTGTGTTTTTAACAGAACTTAGGCAGAAGAAAAAGTATTGAAAAGTACATGTTTAGGCCAACAGTCTCTAAATTTCAAAGCAGAGCCCCAACTATGGTAAATTTAAGTTCATAAGCTCAAAAGAAATTTTAGAAATGCTTATGGGTGGAGGTTTAAACACCTTGGGATCAAAGGGAAAAAAATGGAGTTTCTTAACTAGCTAAGGCACATCACCGTTCTCTTCTTCCAAAAAATGGGTAAGCTTTCTGACACAGACTACTCATGCTTAACAATCACTACATGACGCATAATACACTTTTTTCCTGTAAACCTTTCACAGACTTTTTTCTGCATCTTTTAAAGTTAACGAAAAACATCAATTCTGCCCAAATGGTAATGTTTTGTTTATATATTATGACAATGTACTGTAAATGAAAACATGTAACTTGAGAAGCTTTGAAACAGAATTTTTAACGGATACTTTTCACACATAGATGTGCATTTGTACTTTTAATTTGTATGCTAAGATTTCATTCACCAGCAGAGTCCCCGCATTTCAGTTGCTTTATCACAACACTGATACTGAATGGTGAAGGAAGCCAAAGACACAGCTATGCTTTATCATTTCAGACTTCTGCAGTAATCATCATTATCTTAGTTAACCAAAGATAAAGAACTGTGATTGATTCTATTGTCCTCTCCATTTGCAAGCAGAGGTGAACCACAATTTTAAGATAAGAGCAACCTGTAACAAGTCCAGTCCCAAGTAGCTTGAGTTTAATGAGAGATTCAGTCTAAGACTCTATTATCTTTCAGTCCAAGATGATGTTTAATGAGGCATGTATGTGCACAAGCTCTAGACTTCAATATTATTCTCCATCTATAGAGAGAAAGGAAGTAGACTTATTGATCCTTATCCAAAATTGTCTCAACTGGGATCAAGACCTAAAATCATCACAGTAGGAATGTTTGCAAATGTATATGACATTTTCATATGTCTTATCACCAAAAGAGAACAGATATAGCTGATAAAATTTAAGAAAAGGATGACACAGATTTTAAACACACATCTGGAGAAGATCTGTACCACACAAGCTAAAATGTTGAAACACAAATTTTGGGTACCAACTATGAACAGATTTTCAGCTTCTCAGAATAACAGCCATTGAAAGTGAGGAAATTTGATTTAAATATTACACACACTGAAGTGCAAATGCCACTAACAAGCATGCCTTGACTAGTGGGGGGGTGTGTGTGTGGTGTGTGTGCCGTGTGGAACAACAAAATCAACATTGCCTGTCAGGCCTAAAATCAAAACCGTCATAAGCAGCATGTCATCTCCTCTCCTCTGGAGCTGAGGAAATTACAAACAGGGCTCATAATCCCGAAACACTCAATATGTCTGCTGAAGAAAAAGATAAATTTCTGTGAGTAGCTTATGTTTAATATCAACCTATGTTCTGACCTGCACGCTGGTTTCGGGAATGAATTTGCTTGTCTCAGTACCAGCAATTATGTACCAGTGTTCATGTTTTTGGAATAAAAAAGTAATTCTGATGCACATAACACAACTTATTAAGACATTAAGACTCAATTATAAATGACAGTGCATTAGGAGCCCAAAGAGTATTATCACTACTGACACTAGCCCGTTGTTAGAACTCCTTTCCAAAGCACAGCACAGTACAGTCATTGATCTAAGTGACAGATACATCAGAACACAAAATCCCTTCCTTGCATTGGACAGGTCACATTATCCAACTCATTATTGACTTAAATTGTTTACTACTTAAGGTCAAATTAATTGGCAGCAGCAGATCAGTTTTTCAACAAAGAAAAAAAACTCTCTGAGCTCGTAAGATTAATTCTGGTTGAATCCTATCCTGACAAGTGTTATGATTATTTTTGTGACCTGCATAAACTGTGTGTTTGCCAACTTCCTACTTCCTCTGAACTCTCTTGTCAATACCAGCCTTTTCACCTAATTCTTCAGTTTTACCTCACTGAGTAAACTGTAAACAACAGCACTTTGTAGAATAAAAGTTTTATCAGTCAAATGTGAACTTACTTTTCACATTAAAAGCAAAAATATTTTAGAAAACAGATGTCTGCATTTCAGAAACATAAGCAGAAGCATTTAGAGCTGATCAGTAAGAATAGCAATGTGTTCGGTAGCATTCTCGTGGCAACATGAGTATCTCCCCCAGAGCACTTCAGAAACTCGCCTTGCTTTGATGTCAATTACAGACATCTTCCAAGATCTCAAAAGTTAATTTTGAAAACAGAGCTTATAATTTCAAAAGAATTATCTATTAAACGAGGATACTGAAGGAAAAATTCTAGCCAAGGTATAAGGCAAATTGCAAGTGAGGCAAAGGAAAGAAGCAACGGGACTTTCAACTTCTATTAATTGCATCCAGATTTGGAAGTGTTAGCTGAACATGCTCAGTTCTGCTGTGCTTATTTCAAAAGCCTGTACTGTCAGTATTTCTTCATAGTCCAATTTTGCTTTGTTTAAATATCAAACTGATACACACTGCAATTCGTTGTGAAGCAGCCATGGCACACTATATTCAGTGCTGCATGTGTGCAAAAATCACCAAAAGGAATACAATGGAAGAGAAGGAGCAAAGGCTTTGTAACACAACCTATCTGTTGTTACTAAAAACTCCCTAGAGAAGGTGTTGAGCAACCTCACCCAACAAACCTCCATTCAGGCTTGCAACCTCTAACAGGCCTTCAGTCTGTCTGACTAATTGAAGTGCAAGCCATGCTTCCAGAGGTGTAATCACCTTTCTTAAATCAATGGAAGTGCCAATTCAAGAAGAGATAAGGACAAAAAGAAAGCAGTGAGTGCTGTTTTGTGTCTTCCATACAGCTCTAGCAGCTCCTATTAAGGAATTCTAAAAAGATTACAGAATTTTAGAAGTCGTTTAAAGCAGTCTTTAAATCTAAATTGGTTTAACTACAGTCAGAAATTCTTAAATGTTTTAATTTCTTTAATAAGCAACAGCCCATGAGACTCATTTGGGCTATTCTTAAATTTTGCCCTTTATATTTACAATTCAGGGAGAGAAGTAGATCCTTAAAATGCATGCCATACAGATTCACTTTAATGTAGAATCCAAATTGTAACTTCAAAATGTAGCTTCAGAATTCAGAACTAACACTGTCTTGCCTACCATTCATTACATGTTAGAAAAGAGCAACTAAATAAATCCTCAAAATCTTCACGGACTGGGAGAATTTCATAAGCAGTTTTGCAGAGTGTAAGCCAGTCCTGAATCCTACTGAGTCTCCAAACAGGATCTCTTTCAGAAATTGCAACTTGGAACTACGACACAAAAACTATCTGTGAAGTTCTTGCTTCCCTGCCTTCCTCACTGACGCTTGTCAAGGAGAACACGTCTGTCGAAAAACTTTTAATGAGATGATGCATAAGCTCCTATCAATATGGTGATGCGATATGCAAATACAGGAGTGTTACGAGAGAAAAAAAGTCTTCTAGTGTTTGATGTACCTAACTGTGTATTTACTCTGTTCAGAAAAACACCAAGAGACTTTCTGACATTTCAATATTGCAGTTTATGTGAATGAAAAGAATGATAGAAGTCACTATACAGTGCAAGATTGACTTTTGATTATGATGCAAAATGCCAACTTCAGATTCTATTATGGAGAGAAAAGTCACAGATGCAGGCATTAAATTTCTCACGCCAGAAGGCATTGTCTATTTTACATCCACTAATGTGCCAGATTGGGCAAAATCTGTTTCAGCAATTTAAACTCTGCAAGGTGGAAAATACTGCAGATCTCTATAAAAACACAGTTTCTTCTACTGCAACGAACTATAAAACTTTTGTTTGACAGAAAAATGACTACTACTTATGAGTATGTTTGAAATCGCTAATACTTTAAAGCAACAATGGCGCAGAATGTTTTAAAATGTTTTCCCCATTCTAAAATTATGGCAATTAATTACAGTGAAAATACCTGTACAGAATTTAAGAATTAATATTTTCTTACAGTATTTATAATAATATATTATGTATATACATATTTGCATTCCACAGTGCTTGTGATAGCTAATATCCTTTCTAGAGAGATGCCTCAGCCATCAGAACCATATGCTTGCAAATTATTGAAACAAATTTTTTATGTAAACATGAGTGAGAAATCTGTGCTCCTGTTATTAGTACTTTCTAGTCTACTACACAGACATAATTCACCTTCCCCAAGGCATGTTTCACTTGATGTTACTTAGAATGCTGTGTTTCTTTTAACATTACTTTAAAAGAATTATTAAGTGGTATATCTTTATATCAGGCACAGAATTCTCTATGTTAAGC